TACGTTACTACTACCTACTACTACTACCACTACACTCTACCTCTCTCTCTCTCTCTCTCTCTCTCTCTCTCTCTCTCTCTCTCTCTCTCTCTCTCTCTCACTCACTCACTCACACACACACATTCACACAAAGTATCATGACAACAGCTGCTGAAGCAGCATAGTTTTTCATAATTATGAGAAATTTGTGAACAACTGCATTATAATCCCTAAAACTGGCTTCAATATGTTTTGAAAGAGAGAGAGAGAGACTAGATAGGCAGACACGGAGAACATTCCCATTCACAACGTCCCTCAAAATTGTGGCGGGGAGAGGGAGAGAGAGAGAGAGAAATGCTGATCTCACAGCTCTGAGCTCTGCCCTTTTGCCCTCTGGAGTTCTTAGCACTCCCCAAAATGTTAAGCATTGCCCTAGCCACCAAAAGGTTGTGCCCTTCTGCTGTGCTTGGTAAATCTCCTTTCTCCATCAAAAGTCAAAATCCAAAGGCTGCCACCTTTACTTTTAAAGGATGTGTACATTCTTGATAGTCTGAGAAAAAGTTCTATGAGGCAATGAGAAATATTTTGTGGGACCTGTCTACACTGGATGCAGAATAGAGGAATATTCACACTCCATACTTTAAGACAAAGGAAAATACTTCTTCATTCCTGCAGTCTTCTTCTGACCCTTTCTGCTGCAGAAGAAGAAAACTAGAGTTCTCCAACATAACCAGTATGGCCAGTGGAAAAAGATTTGTGGCAATGGCATTCAAAATATCTGGAGGGCAACTAGATGGCCACTTCTAATCAACCATAGCTAAGGAAACACTTTCCCATGATTTGAGATAATTATTAACCATTCACTTGTTCAAAATGTAGCATTACCTTTCTCTGATACATCAAGGACAGAAATATCATGGCCTCTGTCATCTGACAGTGTTGCCTTATATTCACCCCGGTCCTTTTTGGACAGCTAGAAGTAAAATATGGTAACATTATTATGACATGAAAATTAATGAAAGCCTTTTACAGACATGCTAAATTTCCTCTATCAGAAAGTAAATTTATTTTGAAGTTTGCCTGAGCCCCAGTGTGGGCATAGCAAGTTGAGGCAATGATTGTATTCATACTTTGACACCTTCAGCTTAAAATGAACTAAGCTGTCTATCACACTTTTTAATTCAGAAGACATCCTAAATGAGCATAATCTATATAAATCACAAATGGCTCGATAAAGCTCAGGGAATTACTCATTTTGACAGAAAGGCAATCGGGTATTAAATGCTTATACAGAAGCATTTCTGAACATGTCTTCTCAGTTTCTGTTTACATCCATTATTATCCATTTTCATCTAAAACAGAAGAAATTATCTAACAATTGCCACCTTTTAAATGAAGTAGAGAATCCATCCACATAAGCATAGTTGCTTGGAAGCTTTGAAATCAACAAGACTTTTCTCAATAAATTTAGGGCATAATCCAGTAAATACTTTTAATCCCACTAATTTCAGTACCAACTTGAGTATAATCTTTATTTTCCCAGTGAAATCAATTGATAACGCATGTGACTTGATTAGATCACAACCATAATTAGGACTGATCAGAGAATGCATGAACAACTTTCTTTTTCTTTCTTTTCTTTCTTTCTTTCTTTCTTTCTTTCTTTCTTTCTTTCTTTCTTTCTTTCTTTCTTCTTTCATCAAAATGTCAAATGTTTCAAATGAGGTCATTCAAACAAGGCAGTGTTGTCTAGGAGTTACAACATATAGTAATCAAAAGAAACGGCACATATTGAACAAAAAGAGAATTCTAAAAGTTTGGGAATATCTGGAGATCTGCTAAATAGGATAAAGATCTTATTTTGTTCTGTTAGCTATACCTTTCTGATAAAGAGAAAGCTAAAAGTCAATGAAAGTATAGTTGTAAAAATTGGTTAAAGTTAAAAGGAAACCATAAAGCAAATAAAAATGTTTTTGCACCACTGAAGAAAGAGTATCACAAAATAAAGCTAAACAACAGCTAAGCCTGGAGACAGATTTTCAGAGAGTTGAAAGAGGTGTCACACAGCTCTTTTGCCTCTTTTAAATAGGCTTTCAGAATGTTTGTTGTTTCAAAAAGGCAGGCAAACATTTTGACACTATTAAAACATGGTTCTCCAAGGCTGGTTGGTGCATCATTGTAACTAAACGTCAACTTTGGTAAATCCATCCATTCTCTAGCTGCATTGAGGGCAACATCTTTATCCATAGGTAGGTGGGGAAGGCTGTCCATGTGTTTACATATCAGTCTTCACTATGAAGGCTTTTAAATTCCAGAAATCTGTTTTGTTAATAACTTTAAAAAAGTGTTGTATACAGATGGCTGGCCTTCATTTAAAAATATAATCTGTGAATGCAGTTCAGTGGGAACAGGAAATACTGAATATCAGTAAGGATGGAACTTCTACGTTTCCAAACTATCCAGGAAGTACAACTCTATGATTTTGAGCTACCCAGAGGCGCAATTAAGTCTTTTTCCTTTAGCCCTCCATTGTACCATACCTTTGGAATAGTCAGGCAACAAATGCCTTTCTGCAGGTCAGGTGGCTCTTTAACATCCACTCCAGCTTCATTTCTGTACCACCGGAAAGCAGTCTCCTTCTTTGTATTTGCCACCTGAATAATGACACCAGTAAAAACAATGAAAAACTCCATCCCAAGAGACCCAGATAGTTCTCTGTGACTTGTGTCCTTCGTCAGTCAAAAGAAAGCCTATATTTTTTCCCATGTTGATGTTTTTATTTTAAAAATTGCATTCCTACACAGATGTGTAGATGTGCATGGAATTGTTTCTCTCAAAAAACAAAAGCCACGCCCTTGTTGAGGTATGCTTTATGCAATCTTTATTTTAAAAATCAAAATTCCTGCCTCTCTGCATAGATGTACTGTATCTGTGGCTACCAGACTTAAAAAAAGAATGCTTGAATCAGCAGGTGAGTTCTTGCTTCTCCCCAACTACAGTACTGTTGTGTGGCTTATGTTAGTAACACAAATAGTAAGATACACATGATTTTTCAAGGATCACCTGCTTGTTCCACAATTACAGTTCAATCCATTGATATGTGTACTTGATTGTGTTATAAAGGCAATGGATATTGTTTTTTATTGATTAACGTAGCTCTGTGAGCAACAGTTTTGTTCACAATATAGATATGAACATGGGTCTGAGACTAACTATTGCCAAACAGACGGTGGGAAAGAGACAGAAAGCAAAGCACCCCCAATTCTGATAATTAAAGGAGGAGTAAGGAAAACCTGTGCCTTATAAACTTTAAAATAAATATAGAAGCCAAGTAAGTCTCTTGGTTAATTCAAATAATATACCTTTCAAAGGGTTTAAAGTATTACAGTATATATATATAGTATATATAATATTGCATACTTTCAAGAGATATTTAGCATTAAATACAGACAGAATTAACATTTTGGAGCTGCAATCTGGTATAATTTTTTTCCATTATTCCATTGTACTTAATGGGACTTGGGTTCTGAGATAATATGCACACGATTGTACTGCAAATATATTTAAGCTTGACTAGCACAAGCTCACCATGGATTTTACTTCGTTTGACTGTTACTTTGCTTTGTGGTTTCTGCAAAACAGCTCCAAAATACAAAACGTTTCATAAATAGAGAGCATACCTTTGTTTTAAATTCACACTCTTATTGCAAGAAATGACATTTGTGCCCCTTTGGAAAGTCATTTTGTGAAAAAGCATCCAAAAATAATTGTTCACCTTACATAGCAGCAGGACTTCACATTCATCAGAAACTTTCCAGTGCAATTGCTCCTGAAAATGAGGACCTAGGAGAAAAAAATGATAGGCATGCCATATTTAGATCTTCCATCATTTCAGAAAATTAATAAATATGATGGGAAAAATAAAACTGGAAAGAGATGGTTCATTAAGTGATTAAACCTAATTTGTCCTTCCAGTCAGTGAATGAGGAGTCAGGTAAGGAAAGCTACATATTAAATGAAAGGAATCCTTGGATTTGTGGGCAGAGAAAGTATGTAGGACTGGTTCATATTTTCAGTGAAGATAAATACTGTATGTGTTTGAGAGAAGTTTGCTTTCTGTAAATAATGACTTAGGAAGAGCACACCCAGATTCATTACTCCAATATCAAAAAGGAGATGTTAAAATTGCAGTCCCACAACCAAAGTGCCTTTCAGTAACTGGGTACATTGAGTAGGAAGTCATCATATACTGAATACTCATTTATCAACTTTTAGAGGCTCCTACAGCGATGAAGGCACCACAGTTCAGCATGAAAAAGAAGACAGCTCAGTATATGAATATTGGCCTTCTCTCTTTCCTAAACACATTCTAAACTCACTCAAGTTAGCCCTGAACTATGAGCTGAGGCAGTGCTGGGTGTCCTTTGTATCCCAGAAAGTCCCTCTGGCAGGATCCCAAGAATCATGAACCTGGATTCATTGTATTATTTTCCCCTAGATTTGGGATGCCTGCGTTATTGCAGGTGTGTGTATCATAATGCTGAATGCCAGAAACCCTGGGTAGTTTCCAGAGATTCTGTTAGAGCAGAATCAGAACTACTGGGACATTTCTGAGAGCTCCTGGTGTCTAGGATGGCACAGGAGATAAACCACAGGTCACAGGGGAAATAAAAGAGGCACCTTATTATTGACATACAACAACAGAATAAAATGTATAGGTGGATGTTCATGGTAAGTTTTGGAATGGGAATAATATAAAGCAGATGAGCAAACTCTGAAGTCCCAGGATCACATGGAACCCCAGAAGCCCTCAACTACCTTTCAATGTTGGATTGTTAATAGTTTGTCATTTTTTGTGTGAAAGACCAGGACAATTAATGAACACAGGACTAGAGAATAATCATATGAATTATAAAGCTTAATGAAATCAGAAAGAGTTCTATTTCGGTCCCCTCCAGCAGTTTCTATATATTGCTCAAAGGCCAAAGACAATCCTCATTCTGGGGAAAAAATGCACAATCCTGGATTAAATTATGCCAATTTATCATTCATGTTTACAAAATATCCATGGATAGAATATTGGCTTTTTAGTACAAAACTACACAAAATGTAAGTAGGCATAAAATACAAATACATTTAAGATAGATAGATAGATAGATAGATAGATAGATAGATAGATAGATAGATAGATAGATCGATCTTCAAAATATAGGGAAAACTAAATGCATGTGAGACAAGTAAACAGAGAAATAGAGAGAGTCCAAATATTATTTTTTGCTTCATTGAAGAAATGCTGATTTGGAATTACATTTTCTGTATTCTGCATGAAGCTCCTGTATTACTTTTTAGGTTTTGTCTTCCAAAAAAATGTTTGAAAACACATCATAACCCAATATTATTGTCACTAGACTGCTTGCCTTAAGATAACAATGGCAAATGCTTGGGGTGAGGCAGGGGGACAATGAATTTATTTACTGTAGCAAGGACATATGTCAGAAATTAATCATAAGGAATATAAAATTGACAAAAGAGTATAATCCAACCAAGTTAAATCCAGCACATGGGCCATTGTTGTTGTTGTTACTGTTGTTTTGTTTTTGTTTTTGTGGACCTGATTGTGCAAAGCATTGATTATTCTAAAGTTTTGTGTAAACTTCACTAATGCCAGCGTGAATTAAATATATGTATTATTTTTACAGAATGTTCTTGCCAGCAAAGAAAGAAAAAAGAAAAACCCTTCCCCAGTTGTTCCCATTTTACCTTGTTTCCTCAGGAATTCCTTTCTCCGCACCTCGGCCTCAGCCAAAAAAGCCTTAAAAGCTGAAAAGAACACAAGAGGAAGTTTAAATGGCTCGATCGGATATTCATAAAGATATAAAACTTGTTATCAATGCTGTCCAGGGCAAAACATTCAGGCATCTTACCATCATCAATGAGAACTAAAGAAGACTGACTCTTGGCTTTTCCATCTTGAAGCTGAACGGTGTAGGTGCCTTCATTTTCACTAGTGAAGTGGTCCATAGTCATCTCAACAACACCAGTTGCATGGTTACACTTAATCCTGTGTGTCTGGAAACCAGAAAGAGCAAACACGGTCTCGAGTATAGTGATGGCTACAGCTGAGAATTGTCACAGAATGAAACATGCTGGCGGAGTGACTGAAATTTTGGAGGCAAAATTAAGTGGGAATTACAACAACCTTAATCTGTGTTAAGGAGTAGACAGGGTTTAAGAAACTGTTCGTAAAATTGTTTCCTCTCCAAAAAAAAAAAAAAGCAGATTTACTTATCAGGCTTTCCTCTTCACTATCTCTATGTATTTCTTGTTTAGACAGAAGAGAATCAAGGCTTGCTTCAAATGGCTATCACCATTTTACAATGCCCCAGACTCCATTTTAGATACTTGCACAGCAGGAAACTGATTTGTGCATATGTTGTACATCCTTTGTTTAATCTTATGTATGTGAAAAACAATCATAGCTTTGCTGATCCATGGGGGAAGAAATCCATGACTAGATTAAGGCCACATATAATTATTCCCAGGTAGGACATAAAGGAAATCTGTAAGGAATCCTGCTGGGAACAAATGTGGGTTTCTTACTTTTAGTGAATCTGTGATAGGGTAAATGCTACCAAAATCAAAACTGAATATTCAGGTGAGGTTGCAGAACAGAAGCAGCCTATTACTCTCAGTGCCTGGACCAAATCTGCTGTTACTAGAAAGAAAAAGCTGGGAATCCTACCAAACTCCTGGATTTTGAAAAGCTATTCTCTTCCTAAATTGATACAGAAAGCAGAAATCTTAACCAGGAATGTTCATGGGGAGGGGTCACCAAGTCAAAATGGTGGGTGCAACTAGGTAATCAAAGTTCCACCCCTTTTTAACATACACTGCAAATTTCACATGGATGCAAAAAGAGGTGGGGCTACCATGGCTTGGTCACATCCATCATTTTGACATCATTGACCACCTTCTGTTGGAGCCTCTAACCTTAACTATACCCTTTCTACACAGGGATGGGGAAAGTCTGGACCGCTAGGTATGGCTAGGTTATAATTCCCAGTAGCCCTTGGTGGATCAGCCAGTGAAGGAGAATGCTGGGAGGTGTAGTTCAACAAGCTATGGAGACCCACAGGTTCCCTGCCTTAGCCAAAAAGAAACAACTATTGTTCATGTGATGTTAGCATATATTTCCTCCTCTATTTTTTAGCCACAGGGCATGAGATGAAAACTGCCAACTAGAGAAATTAATAAAATTCATCTTCTTTTAATGTTACATTATTTATTTTTAAAAAAAAATTTCAAAAGAAAAGCAAAAGAAACATGTCCCTATTAGGGTCTTGTTGGAAATTACCTATTTTTGTCCAACACCAAGAAGAAAACTATATTCTTTCAATGATCAGCGGCTGTCTGTAAGCAGGCTTTAGTATATAATTAGGTTTCTGGCCATTGCCATTATGCAGTGAGATGAAGTTCAATGGTTTTATGGCAGCCATAAATACAAGCTTTTATGTGAATTTCTACAAAAAATATAATCAATCTCCAAATGCAAATGTCTCCTATGTTTTGCTAATTAAAGAGGTAAAATAATATATGGTACTTTTTTAAAAAACGCAGTGGCTCTGATGCCAAAGCTTTTATAGCATTATTAAAAATATAGAAGTCAGAAAAGGAGAGGAAGATTGAGAGATTATTCACATTGAAAATGCAGACAACAACCACTCAACCACTACTGTCAGTCAGGATTAGGACTCCACTAAGGGTATGAAAAGTAAGCAAGTGACAATTTTCTAATGGAGAATGTTTCCTGTTTAGACCTGTCTGTATATAATAGAACAGTGAAATGAAATGAAAGGATATTTTATAAGACCTGGAAAGCTTTTCATGTAACTAGCATTATAAAACCTCTTCAGCAAAAAAAAAAAAAAAGGAGGAAATGTATGTGCATTTTTAAATATATTGGTGCTACTATGACTACTACAATATGTGTATTTAATTCCAGGCATTCATTGGATGGACCCATCTAGGAAGCTGTACTAAGCTGACCCTGGCTGAACAGAAGTTAAGCAACATCAGATGGAGAGAGCTCTAAACTAAACTGAGAATTTTGGGCAAAATGTCTCAAAAGAAAGTAGTGGCAAGCCCTTTTCATATTGTGGACAAGAAAACTACATGAGTATGTCCCCAAAGTCATCAGGAGTGGAGACCTTATTTAGGTTGAAATGAGGACTAAGTTTCAAAAATTTGGAATCTGCATTATAGTCTAAAAAATGGGAGGAGGAATTAAAGGGAAATGACCTTGGAGCTTATCCTATAAAACTTAGAGGGAAGCAGAACAACTTGCCACTTGTAGTAGAAGAAGCAGGAGCTACTTCTTCTATAACACAATGAAGAACTGGAGGGAGCAAATGAGGACACCCGAAGCAAGACTGTCCTCTCTTTGTTAAAACAGTGATTCATGCTTTAACAGTACTGCTTTGCACACAATTATCCATAGGGGCGGCCCTTGGAAGGCAATAAAGGAAACCTATACAATATAGGTACGGATACATCATGGACTAATGTGATTGCCCTCCATGTTTAACATTTCAGGCTGCCCACTGCAGAAGGTATGTCATAGGCGATCAGTAAAGAAAAGTTGCTAGATGACACGAAGGATAGAAAAACAAAGCTGTATGCAAACACTCAACCTCTCTATTAGCCGATTCCCACCAAGCAGGTTCAGCATCAGTATCTGATCTTTTCAGGTACGATCCAGATTCCTGGTGTCCTACCTAGTGTCCATATTTAAAGCATGTCCTCCCAACACTCCAACAAGAAATGATTATTTTCCCACATGTTCTCAAGGCACATTACCTTGGGGCATTATGGGAAAGGTTATGTCAGAATACTCTTGCTGTCTGCCTCTGCTATACATTCACCAAAATGAAGAAAAGTCCTATCAAGCCTTTCTACAGAGGTTCTTTGATAAGGTTTTGTCTTGCCTGTGCAACCTATACACAACTGATGCTACTTCCCATTCCTAACTAACCATCAACGTTATGCTTTGTAGTAATACTTCCTCTATCCTGACATTACTGTAAGGTATTTCTCTTATTAACAGTTTGTACTTGATATCTGAAAGCCATCCCTGGGGCAATCCACCACCCTTCAATGCCCAATTGATCAGATGCCTGGCAAAGTCCTTCCTTTTCCAAAAGGCATTTAATCTTTCATAAATTTAGTCAAGTTTTTTTATGCTACCATTTAAAATATCTTAAAATCTTTTTTTAAATCTTTTTTTAAATCTTATTTTTAAAAAATATTTTCTTTGTTCCATTATATTGTTGTCACCTGCTCTAAAGATATTTGCCAGTTAGGTGGGAAATTAATTAATTAAATTGTAAACAGTTCTGTAAAGCCATGCCCACTGTCTGCATTTCACATACTATGTACAATAAAAGATTGCATTCTTTCCTGACTAAATTGGAATACTTCTGCAAACTTTGCTTTACATCATCCAAATTACATACTTACATCACTGTTGACAACTTCACTATCATTGATTACAAATCTATAGCTGGCCTGGGGTGAAATGCTCTCAGCCTGAAGCCAGAAACGGACTGCTCCTTTGTCCAAAATCTCATAGGCTAATTCAGACTTCAGAGGGATTGCTGGAAGAAAATAGCATATATAAAGCAATGCCATGAAGATATTTCCAAAAGCTAAGTGCCAATCGCTTGGTGCTTCTGAAAATCTTGACCAACACACAACAGAAATATAAGGAAAAATTTAAAACTTTTCCGGTGTATTTTCACAGGTATGTATTAAAGAAAGTTCTGCATGAGTAAGGACACAAACGTCAGGTGTATTTATCATACTATTTACAGCTCTTAAATACATAATCCAGCAAATATTAGATATATTCAAGCTGAATCCATCCATCCAAATACATTTGCAATGGTGAGAAAGATCTCTCTTAAATAGAAATTAATATTTGCATTTAATTAATAAAGGATAAGCAAGCTGTTCTACTAAAGTGGTTTTCATTGCTTTACTCCAATCACTGTATACAAATGCATTCCTTCTGGGACTTCACATTAGATTCAGACATCCTACTTACTTGGATTCTTGATTTCACGGCTTAGTGTCATCAAACGTTCAAGCTCTGAAATGAAGAACAAGTTTTAACCTATTGTTTTAATCTATGTTGATTATCAAAACAAACATTAATATGACTGCATGAGTCCATCAAGTACCAATAAACTTTAGTTCAATAAAGGAACAAAAGTCTGAAAATTCAAGTCTTGAAAAACAGGAGGTAAGAAGAGACAAAGTTTGGATTCTGGTATCATGATAAATCTTGATCCTATGATGGGATCAAGTCTGGATGATAAACCATCCTGTGATGGGATCAAGCCTAGCTGCACCCCCAGTTTGTGCACTTCCCATGTCTTCTCCTTGGATAAAACTTGAAGGAGGCTCCCACTACCTTTACAGATTAATTTCAATTTGTTGTGTCAACCAACCACCAAATGCTTAATTTTAACTGTGGTCTAATGGAAACAAGCTTACATTCAACCATTGCTTTCAAAAGTGGATCATTTAAAGCAACTATAGTTGATGCTGGTTATAGCTTTAAAAATGAAGTAAGAATTTCTGAACTTCTCATCATGCTAAATTATAGTTTATCGTAATAGTCAAATGCAGCAAAAAAAGTTTAAAATAATGACCCGCATCTAATTATAAAGAAATCCACTGAAATGTAAATATGAGGTAAAATATTCAAAGGTTCAATAATCTCATCTATATCTTGTTTTATCTGCCAACATAATTCCGTAGTGTATCATTTCAAAAGGGGTCTCATTTCAGCAAAAGCATGAAATCCGGTGGAGAGAAAATGTTTTTAAATGTATATAGTAGCTGTCAGGAAGCTCTCACAGAAATTGTGCAAAGCACTGGAGACCAGGATTAGCCCGACTTAACATATTAGAATTGCTAATAAAGTCTCAGGAAATGGAAGTAATTGCAAGGTCTGCCAATTTTCAAGTAACAAAGAAATGACAAAATTAACTAGTAAAACACTGAAGAAGTGAACAAACATTTTGGTCTCATTTCTAATTATATTAGAAGCAAGTAATTCCTACTCATTTAAAAGTTTTACTCATCTGTAGAAACAGGGAGATATTATACCTCATGAGATAATAAAGTTGGTAAAGTTGGCTTTGAATACAATAAAATCTTGCAGGAATAATCTTAGTGGACTATAACTTTGTGGTTATAACAGGGAAGCTCTGTGGAAGACATTTGATTGTTAAATATAAATAAATACTTATAAAGCAAAAACGCCAATTCTGCAAGCTGAAAATTCCAAATTTTATTTTGTAAATAGTTTCTTCTTCTAAAAAAAGTATTAAATCCTTTCAGGCATAGAAAGAAGAAAATTTGGATAACAGCTTTACTTAAATGTGCAGTTTTAGAAGAAAATACAGATTTTGCTCTTACCTTCTTCATCCATAATGAAACTGGATGAGACACCATCAGTATCACTAGCAGCAACAGAGTAAGTTCCCAAGTCATCTTTGTCAGGTTTTTTAAAAGAGAGTTTAGAGCTAAAATATATATATTTTTTAAAAAGTAACATTAGTGTTTTGCTAAAAGGAACCATATTTTTAAAAACCTCCACAAAGGATCTGAAGAACTTACTGATCTCCAATGGTTTCGATTTTAAACTTATTGGGATCATCTATCTCTTCATGGAATTTACTCCAGGTACAATGAGAAGCATCTGAAGTTTCTTTGCACTCAAAGCCAAGATAAACATTGCCTTCCTCATCCACACCTGCAGTGATCTCCTTTGTACCTATAAGATAGGATTGTGGTTTGAAATATAAGCATGGCGAGAGGTGTTAGTTCTCCCCAAACTTGAGTCCATGAAGGCCTTTGAAGTATTAGCTTAAAGTCCAAACTTTCTCTTAACCGTTTCACATTCCTGCTATAACCTGAAGGAATTCACAGAGAAGAAAGGCAGTTTAATTTCAGAACTCTTACAGGAAAAAAAAAAAAAATAGAACTGTTGAAGCTGGTAATACTTCATCCAGCATATTCACAGAATCAAATGCCAAGGGCAGGCAGGATGTAAAAATGGTGACAGTGCTTGATTCTGTGTACATGTAGTACTTCTAGACTTGTTATCCTCATAACGGCCTGCCATAGCTACCAGCACACTTAACCTGGTGCCCTACAGAGTGGCCCATTATCTCATCATCTGCATTGGTTGAAGAGATTATTGGTGCTACACAATACAGCTTTCTGCGCCTCGCTATGGCTCCTCATCCTTCTGAAGGTATCATCCCCAGCAAATTCCCTCTCTTAATGTGCCCTGTGACAAATGTGAAGGGGAAAATAGGTAATTTTGTGGTTTGAAAAGAACCCACAAATCTCTTGATAAACTGGAAAAAAGGAACTTGAGGTTAAAAGAAAATCTGAAGGGGAGGGGGAGGGTTTTGAATGCTTTGGGATTTCTTATTCCCTGCATATTCAGCCATGTTTTAGATTATAAATTATGGTTGCCAGCTCTTTCTTCTCCGACAGACTCCTCAGCTTTAGGTTCTACATGGAAGCTGGCCATATTATGGTCTTTTCCATGTTGGGAATAGGTGGTTCTACTGAATTTGGCTGTGGGAACATCTGGGTGAGAATGTGGTTCAAATCAATTTTGATATGAACCTATGAACATTTGCAAACTTTAAATGGCTGGAAAAGAATGAAAGATTTTAAAAACTCAGCTTTAGGAGAAAATGAATCTGATGATGTGAGCTCTACAGTTCAGGATCAAAATCCTATTTCTTACCAGGCTTGGCCTGTATCAGGACAGCTTCAGAAACTTCTGACGGCTTGCCTATACCAGCATCATTCACTGGGCGAACTTGAAACACATAGCATTTGCCTTCATGTAGTTCTGTGACCTGAAAGAAGATACACAAGGAAGATTTAATAGGTCATATATCCAGTTGCTGGAATTTAAGAGATAGTGGAAGAGTTTGCTTTGATACTCTCTGTCAAATGCACTTTTGCAAACTTGGAAATCCAAGATCTTCCCTAGTGGTTCTTTATCTTATGCACAAAAGGCAAACTATAACAAGAAAATGCAAACATAATGCTGGTTAACATGGGTTAGGAGAGTGTGTGACAAAGAATGGATAACTGGTAGTCAAGTTTATTGTTTAAAAAAATAACAAATAAAAAGTCAATTGGTGTAGGCTTTCATGGCCGGTATCTGTTGGGCAGTGTTGAACTTCAAAGGTTTAGTGACCATGGTCTAAGCAGCAGATTTCTGGACATTTCATTGGGAACTGTGTCTGGAATCTTCAGAGGCAAAGTGGTCTGCTATGCAAATCAGAAACGTGCCTGGACAAGGACCCAATCAAGACACAGCTGCTCAGATTAACCAACCAGAACCCAGCACAAACAAAGAATCAATCAGGAATCAGAACTCCAGAAATGACCATTCAGAAGTCAGCATGAATACAGGACCAGTCAGGAACCAACACCATCAAAACAACCAATCAGGATCAGGCACAAACAAAGAACCAATCAGAGATGAGTCCTCACCAACCTGCACCAATAGGAAACAGCTCAGCTGAAGGCCAATCAAAAGTTAGATTAGCTGCTTATAAAGACAGGAGCCCAGTTAGTCCCTGCTCAGTTGCCTGTGGTCATAGCTGACCACCTTGCCTCTGAAGATGCCAGCCACAGTTGTCAGCAAAATGTCAAGAAATCTGTTGTCTAGACCATGGTTATTAAACACTGGAGCTCAATACTGCCCAACAAAAAAGTAAAGTATTAACAACATAATTACTTTTAAATATAATAAGCATATTTGTTAAGACTGGCAAAATTTAAAAATTAAACCAAAAATACTGCCAGCAGATCAATATTGTACCTTTAAGTAATGATGTGGTGTTGGTTTTTCATTGAATGTGGTCCATTTTGCTGCTTCTTCCTCTTTGTAGTCGACAAAATATCCAGTAATGGGGCTGTTCCCAATATAAATAGGAGCTTTCCAGAGTATTATAAGGGAGGTGTCTCTGATCTCACTAAATGTAAGATCATAGGGAGGACCTAAAGCAGGTAAAGGATTTTAATAAGGCCTCTTTTCTCCAAAAAGAAGACATGATATTTATGGAGCATTTTGTGACTTTTTATTTTATATATAAATTCTGCAGAAATGGTCTTTCCCCCCTTCATTATTTCCCTGACTACCTAATCATGTTTGCTTTGTGTCATAATTTGATTCCATCCTGGGCTAATAGTGCAGGCAACTAAACGTGTCCTGTTGCTAGCTGCAAAAGACATGGTATGGCTATTCCAGCCTTTCTCAAAGCACTTCCATCCAAAGGCGTTGGGATCACTGCTCAAGAACTAGTAGCCAGCAGAGCTACTAGCTCAGAATTGTGAAAATTATAATCCTAACGTATCTGAAGGACAAGAAGGTAGGGAATGCTGGCAATTACTTTTGTGGGTGTGGTAACAAATGCAAAAAGTGTTGGAAAAAAGTAACATTATATGCAGAAAATATTACTGTCTGGAAACTCTCTACTCCCCGGGCACCTGTCATATTCTAGAAATGAGGCTGAGTGATTGCAGAATAGAAAGCTTCCTAAATGAAAAGTTCCCATAATATTCATGTAACAACTGAGCAAGTCTTAGCTTTCAGCAAAGCAGCAAAGAATTCCACTACATGCTAGCACTCAATCAGAAACATTGAGAAGGTTATTTTTTTTCCTTCTTATTTGGCAATAATTTATCAGTTTATCAAGTGAGATGTATCTTCTCTTACCACTGGATAAAAACTCAAATATTTTCATTCTCTGTTCTTTCCATGATCTAACAGTATGTACAAGCAAAGGCAGGTCAATGAATCTAGTGATTTCAATCTGAGATGAGAGGTATTTTGGAGGGAAATCTGTGAGTTCAAACTACATTACAAGTGTAAGTTTGTGCACAAAAGCCTTCATTTAAGCAGACTAATATTCCAGTGTGTCAAACTATTCTACTGAGTTTGGACTTCTCTTTGCCACTGAATACACGCAAACTTATTAATAGTTATACAGATGTTAATGTTTCCATCAGAATACCATAGAAACCAGGACTCTCCATTTACATTCTGGAAAAGAAGCCACATTCACTTTGTATGTCAGAACGCCTGGTACCAGTCTGCTTTTGTTTTGTTAAAACAGAAAACAGAGGCACTTCCACACACCACCATTTCTACTCACATTCTCTTCATCTACTCTCCTACTGGCCTTGAAAGACTGAGTAGAGGCAGGGAACACCTGTGCTAATCAGCAGTCCCTCCAGTCAACCAATAGTAGAAGGCAAAAACCATAATTCACTTAGTGCCCTACCTCCTAAGCTATGACAACTGCTAGAGGAACCAAAATCCCTTGACTGCTCACTAGCTTCACTCCCAAGTTCTCAGAATATGTATCTGGCCGTTCTGGAGAACGCATGAGCAGTTGATGTAACAAAGAAGCTGCTTGACTATGAAGACCCTGACAGGGTTGCCTGTGCAATCCCACTGAGAGCTCCAGTTCACGTGGCAGGAGACAAGCTAAGACAACAATCCCAGCAAATGGCAACATTTCTTGTTGCCGAGGCCTTGGAGCTCCAGCTTCACAAACTGCTACATGGAAGTTCTGCAATTTGAGCTCTGTGTCACTGCCAAGCTGGAAGAACAATGTTGCTGGAACACCACCATACAAGGCTGATATTGGATTGGCAGAAATGCCAATGTAGAGGGGCCCTTAAAAGGAAGGAAGAAACTGGCACCATCTTTTGAGTCTTTCTGGTTGCAAACCTAATAATTCCAGTGCAGCCAGCTCTCTGCATTAATATTTATATCTGGGTATTAAAATAGCATCCTATTAGAAGAACAAGAACAGATTTGTGCCAATCTTCCTACTTAATTATTCAATCTCTTTTATTCAAATAGTGCAGGACAAAGCAGGTTGTATATAAACCAAACATTTTCTCTGTTCCAGATGCATCCATTAAAGACTAAGGGACTGTTTGAAATTCAGCAGACACCTTGCAAACATGTACAAAGGCAATAATCTATAGGAGAAGGTGAGAGAAAGGACTCTGAAAAGTAAACAATGATTCCTTCCCTATCAGCATGAGAATTGCTGTTTTCTTGATAGCTTCATTCATTTCGGATCAAAAATGTGAGCCTGAAGGCATATTCCCCCAAAACAGAACAAGCAAACATTAAGCATAAATTGCTGTTTGCTTTGCTTAATTATAGACAAGCAAGCAATCCAGAGCTAACTTGAGTTAAACTTGGAAATTATCTAAATTTTACCTTCAACCTTTAAAAAAAAAAAAAGAAGCAGAAAGTGGGGATAATTTTTCTCTTCAAAAACTACATGTCCCATGATCCCTTGGTGTTCTGAACCTTGATACAAAAATTTCTACTCTCCCTGCTCCTATTCCTCATGCTTGAAAGCCAAGTGTGCACTTTGGGGTTTCAAGGACTGGCTCACTGGGTTTGGGGAAGGTAAAGGCAACATGAGTTTTTGAGAATCATCAGGAAGGAAGGAAGGAAGGAAGGAAGGAAGGAAGGAAGGAAGGAAGGAAGGAAGGAAGGAAGGAAGGAAGGAAGGAAGGAAGGAA